TTCCACAGGGGAGTGTTCTTGGCCCTACGCTTTTATTTGTTTATGTTAACGATATGTTCAGTGTTTGCGATGGAGACAATGATATAAACCTATTTCTTTATGCAGATGATGCTAAAGTGTTTAAATCTAAAAAGAAAGAAGAGGATGTGATTAGCTTGCAGAGATGTTTAGACAAAATTGTTGATTAGTGTAATGTTTGGAAGGTTAGTATTAACATAGATAAGTGTGTTGTTATGAGACTAGGGGGTAACAGATTTGGGCATGAGTTACAGTATTCAAAATAAATACTTAGAAAGCAAGGAAGAAATACGGGATTTGGGTGTTTCATTTAATAGTAAATTGAAATTTACAACTCAAATATATGAATCAATTAACAAAGCATTTGCGATTCTAGGCATAATATACAAAAATTTTCGTAATTTAAACAAATTTTCTTTCTTACAGTTGTACAAGGGTTTAGTCAGACCAAACTTGGATTATGCAGTGAGTGTCTGGAGACCGTGGACCATAAAAGATATCGAAAGAGTCCAGAAGAGGGCCACAAAAATGGTAAAGAATTGTTTCAATTTAAAGTATGCGGAAAGACTGAAACATCTCGATCTGCCCACGTTGACAACCGTAGAAATAGAGGAGATATGATTCTACTTTTTAATATGTTAAAGAGTGAACCTGATGCTGGTCATCCTGTCATTGAAAAAGTGAATGACAACAGAACAAGAAACCATAAATTAAAGCTCAAAGTTAAAACTTTCAATAAAAATCTAAGAAAGTATTATTTTACAAATCGAGTCGTTAGATTGTGGAATGACCTTCCTGAAGAGGTAGTGTGCTGTTGTAACATTGCAGAATTTAAGAAGAATGTGGACAATCATTGGTTTAACATCCCTTGGAAATTTGAATGTGATTGTTATAAATGGTAAACAGTAAATGTTGTTGGACGTTATGTTTGTTTAATTTATTATTGAACAGTTGCAGAAGGATTGCCATTAACTTCATTATTTTGTTTGTGGTTATTTATTATAATTAACAAAATACTGTATATTTTTATTTCAATTTATATTATGATACCGTTATTTCACTGAAGTTTTCATTTATTTATTTAACTAATTATGTATCTATTTGTTACACTTCATATTACGATTGGGTCTATACATATTGTATGTATGATGTGAAGGGGTGTGCACATATGTATCTGTGAAGGTTTGTTTAATTATAGAATTTCTATTTAGGTATATTTATTTACTTTTTATTTAATTTAATGTGTAAGTATGTGTGATGAATTTGTGTACAGACGAGAATGTGTATGAGCAAATGAGTGTTTGGATGTATGTGTGAACTAAATATATGTATATTGTCAGGTTAATATATAGTTATTGACATTTATTGGTTATTACTATACTTTGTGTGACATTTTTAATGAACACGAAAGTATTTATATGTGTTTATGGTGTGTATAGACGTCTGGGTAGGTGTGCTTGATTAAGATTATTTATTATCAGTATTGTTTTAATATATTTATGCATGTATTATACAGGTGTGTGTGATGTGATGGGGTTTGTGTGTGATAGTATGTATGTGTAACGTACATCTTTATTTTATTTAGAAGTATGTAAGTGAGTGTGTGTGTGTGTGTTTATTTCTGTTTTTTGAAAAATCATCATATATAATGATGTTATAAAAAAACATTTCATTTCATTTAGATATTGGCATATGTTCTACGCGCCAATTATTTCTTTATGTTTATAAAATAATTGAAATAATTAAAGTAATTAAATCATATCCCTTTAAAAAAGTTGTTTTTAATTAAGTTAAAAATTAATCTTTTAGATAGGCCATAGTAATATACTCGTAAAACTAAACACGGTAGTTTTGACCACAATTTTAAACCAAAAACAAAAACTAAAGATGAAAATGAAACAGTACGAGGGACCATACAATCGTATAATGGAGTGTGCCGAGTTGGGTTCTTTTGCAATATTTAGAAGATTTAATTAAATATGAATTAAACATAACAAATTTCTTCTTAACTATAAAGTTAAACAAGAATAATAATAATCAGAGAACGCAGAGTTTAGGAATAGACAACAAATTAGACAACGATAAATAATCTGAAATATGATCATATTTTTTCAGATCATAATAAATACAAATAAATAAGTATAAACATCTATCTAAGATAATAATATGAGACTTAATGCAACGACCCCAAACCACAATACAGTAGTACAGTACAGAAATAGTACATTGTACCATGCAATTAAAGAAATTAGAAAACTATAATTTTTTAATTGTTTGGCTAATGTAAGTGCTTTGTGTGCAATATCAGGAGTCTTGGTATCAGTTTCATATATAGTAATTAAAGCATCATGCACGCCACTTATTTGGTATCGGATTGCTTTGAGACTTTCAATTTTGACTTCCAGCGGGTATCACGTAATATTTTATGAGTGAAGTTTGTAACATGGCTAAGTAAAATATTCCAACGAGCAGTGGACACAGAATATAAAATGAATAACCTTTGTTACGTAAATTTTAACGGAATTGAGTGAAGACTGTGCAGCATCGCCAATAACAAAAATGAAAAAGTGGCTTCCCCAAAGAAGGTAAAAGGCCAAAAAATTTAAATCTAAAATCTTTTTTGGAGAGCAATGATTTTTTTTAATCCAAAACCCGCCGAGTCGTTAACAATAGACAACACCAGAAGGATGTTCATTTATTTTTATAAGATATTCTGATATATTTACAATTCTAATTGTGAGCGAAAACTGTTTTTTATGAGGTGTGTCAGGAGTGCAGTCAACAATAATAGAATAATATGTAGCCTGTATGGCTTTGGATATAATTGTGTTTATAACTTTTGATGCCACTACATCTATCATTTCATTTTGAATTGTTTCATTGCATCTATCATTTCATTTTGAATTGTTCCACAGCAGTAATTAGAAACATTTCTTTTAAGAACTAATAATTTTTCTTAGTTTTATGGCATTAACAGAACATAATTTGGCGCGTTGTTTTGTTACGAGTACGGATCTCTTACTTTGCTAGCAGTCAAACGTCTTACTATCGTAATTTATTGTTAAACTTCAAACAAATTTTTTAATTAAATGTCAATAAATTGACGAAAAAAGCAATTAGGACGATAATCGCTAAACAACCGGCATGTATATATTTATATCCATGACTACCGGTTAAAAACTGATTGCTTACTTTAACTTAAATTCACTTTTCTTTCAACAAATATAACGATTCTATATAACAAATTTGTTTAGATTGACCTTGACATTGTATGTATGAACAATGTATATATATATATATATATATATATAACGTGTTTTCCATATGCCATATTATATATATCCATGGTCAACTCCCATAACAATTTGGCCATCAGATAAATTTGTTATTCGTAAGGGCGGCGTGTCAGCTTGTTGGTTAAGGTGGCCTGGTGCTGTTTTGCAATGCATGCTGTGACCAGGTTCGAATATGATCAAAAGATTCCCGCCCATCACGTGCTTCGTGTGCGATTCGTCGTTTAACATGTATTCATATTACTATGTTTGTGTGTTGTCTCCAAACCTAGGAAGAGTGTAAACCTTTAACTTATTTAAACAGAAAATGTTCGAAATATTTAGCCTGTTAGTACGAACTTATGCTACTAACAAGACACTTTGTTGTGAGTTAAAATAAATAAAACAAACACAATTCAGGCGTAATAAAATATTATCTTTATTCCCACGTGAATCTCGAACCGTTTCGTTTTACAAGCTAGCCGGAGCCGTTTAAAAATAAAAATATTCATTTCGTTTGTTGAATGTTATTCGCCTCCCTTTTCTGAAGGGTCGTTGGTTCGGATTTGGTTGACGTCGTTCTTGTTTCTTGTGTTGTTGTTGCGCCTGATGTTGTTGCTGTTTCTGGTGTTTCAGTAGATTTTGTGTCTGATGTTGCTGGTTTTGTTGAATCTGTTGTAGAAAGTTTGTTGTTCGTTGTCGAACTATTCTTGTTGTTTATTCTGGTTTTGGCTGTTAGAGGTAATGATAAACAAGCTGGCTTTAATCGATCAATTGACACTATTTGAAAATTTCCTGGTAACAATTCAATTTTAAAGTATTTATTGTTACGTTCAATCACTTTGAAAGGGCCTGTATATGGTGCTTCCAGTGGACGACGTACTCGATCTACTCTTAACCATACGTGACTACTGTTTGAAAGGTCATTTGGTACGTAAGCTTTTGGGGTAGAGTGATGTTGATTGTTAGTTGTTAGGTAGTCATTAAGTTTATACATTTCTTTTGCTAGTTGTTTGATTTGACTAGATGTTATATCTTCATTTGAATCTGGGAATAAAAATCGACTTGGTAATAATAAGTTGGTTCCTGTTACTTCTATTGCTGGAGATATTTCATTTTCACAATATTCCCTCGCAAGAGGCGAAGCCATTCAAATGGAAAAATGTTTGTTTTTTGAGTTGAATTTGATTTTTTTACTCTTCTTTGAAGATGCGGTTGTTGGTACTGATATCGCTGGCGTTTAACTTGTTTCTCGTAATGATGTTGCTTTTGTCGCTGATAATTTGGTTGAAATTTATCTTGTTTCACGAGATGTTGATGATGGTGTTGTTGCTGAAAACGCGGTGGCCGTTTTGGTTGCTGGTTCAAATTTTGTTCTGGCCTCTCATGCAACCTTCTGTCCAGCTGCAAACGATTTCTAGAATGAGATGTGTGTGAGGACGATGAACTATGCTCTGCTTTTCTCGTTCTGTGATGATCTTGCTGTTGCTGCTGTTGAACCGGAAGGAAGAGAGAGAACTGGAAGGAGAAAATCGTTCATGTGTGAATTTGCTGATGGGATGGTAGTATTCTGCTCAGCATTTTGCTGTTGTGATTGTTGGATGTCATTTTTTATCTTCGTTCTTGCTCAGGACAACTTTTATTTTATTGGATTCTTCTGGTGGCTGCCTCTCTTCAATTTTGTTTACATTTATCAGATTCAAATTTATTTTAAGATTCTTTTTCTTGGAATGGCTCTGGTTTGGTTTGTTTGAACGTTGATAATAACTCTGCTTTTAGAGCGTCGTAATCTGTTCCCCTTTGCACTTTTAACGACAAATTTGAGACTATATCCAACGGCAGGGAAATTATTACGTGATAGAATCTTGTTGTTTTACACATCACGTTTCGCAATTGAAATTGCATTTCGGAATTCTCGAACCAATCTGTTGACGCTGTTTTCTTGAAAAGAGGTAATATGGCGATCGGGTCATCATTTGGTTGGAACATTGTTTTCGTTTTGATCTTACCACGTGCATCTTCGTATTTCTTTTTACGTCGGATTTTCGTTCAGATCACGTCAAGTTTTAGTTCAGATCACGTCGGATTTTTGTTCAGATCACGTCGGAGGTCACCTATTTGTTAGTACGAACTTATGCTACAAACAAGACACTTTGTTGTGAGTTAAAATGAATAAAACAAACACAATTAAGGCTTAATGAAATATCTTTATTCCCACGTGAATCTCGAACCGTTTCGTTTTACAAGCTATCAGGAAAAAAGGAAGAAATCGAGAGAGAAGCAAAGACATAAAAATTAGCATAGATTAGGTAACATTGAAAATTGCAATAATCTTTAATAATAATTAATACTTAAGATAGTTAATAAATGAATGTTTGATCCCTACAAGCCTTTTTCGCCCTTTTGCATTCTGTTTTGGTGACTTAGCGGGAGTTGACGAGGACGTTATATAGATACTCCAAACGTAATAATAACGTACATATTTTCAAAGTGCAAAATCAGTTCCTTCAGTGAGCGTCATGCCTTCTAGCACCACAGGACAAACCATTGAACTAGATATTTTTGGACGCGTTTTGATCAATGTAAAATATAAGTATTTGTTTACATGTTGAGGTACATTTTACAAGTCATAATGCTATTCGTTGAAAATCTAGATGATTTTCACAACTGACTTGACACACGTGAATTGAAAACGTTTATAGAAATCATATTAACAACACCGCTAAATTGTAATGACGTGATTCTTTCTTTTGTTTTTTATGATGCAGCAGAAATATTTATATGTCTTTCTATACTTATTAGACTTTTGTACCAAATAGGTGGTACAATCATGGATATTATATATATCCATGGGTGCCATCCACACCACACGACGTACATACACATTATGTATGCACTTGTATACACATTATGTTGGCACCTGTATAGTATACACATTATGTATGCACCGCATCATACGCGCATGGCGTGTGTCTGAGTGAGTTTCGGAGACAGTATTTAGACAAGGCCATTGCGTACTAACAGCACGAGACACGATATTTATGCCGACCAAGTTAAAATAAAAAAAAGCTAAAACTTAAAAAAGGCATTTATTTACAACAAAACTAATATGAACTAATTTATTTACTTATTTGTTCATTCAAATTCACTCTATAACATTTTTCGAAGTCTTACGATGATACAACCATGATATAACTATAACCAGACCAAAAACATACAAAATTAGTAGAGTTCGGAAGGCGAAAATCATCAACAAAACCAGCCAGTCACGAACAGCCCCCACATGAAGAAAAAAAAAACAAGATACCATTAATAAAAACAACCAATGATAATAATTACTCAACAGATTTATTAATATAAATATGCTTGATCAGTGGCAGATTTAGACAACTTGGACAAGCGAGGGCCAAAATTTTGAAAATCACAACAGGGGACGGGCATAGATCCGTCACTGTGCTTAAGACAATAAAAATTACGGCGGCGACAAAAAGCAGTCAGAGACTTTAAAGTACGACCCTCAGAGGGTAAGATTTTCCATACAAGATGCAGAAACAAAGAAACATATCTTGCCAAAAGCTACGTTTTTGTTAAGTATTTGAGGCGTTGGGAAACTTGTAGGAACTTAAAATGAAGGAACAACCTCGTCTAAAATTAATTTTTGAAATTCTCCTAATTAGTTTGGAAACTTCAACAGCTGATACACTATGTGACTATGGTTACTAGTAACATCAAATCAACACACAATAAATTCAACATTCCATGAAAAAGTAGTTCGAGATTTGTAATAAAATGATTAATTGTTAACAAAATGAAGTTTTTACATGTTCATAACTTTTAAAATAAGTTAGTAGTAACGAAATGAATATTAAAATGTTTTAAATAAATAATTATTTATAGTAATGGTAACTGAAACATTGTTGAGCCTATTTTACTTTTAAAAATAAAACAGTTCATGTGAGATGAGTAAGAGATGTTAAATAAAAAACAAACCTGTCATAAAATATAAAAATACAATGTTTACTTGACTAGTAATTTTTCACTTACTGTCAGACTTTGAATTAAAAACAGTCAGTTATGTTTGTTTCACTTAATAAATGAAGTGATCAGATGAAGGACATGAATTAGTTAAAATAAAAACAAAATAAACCCAATTCAAAATATAAAATGAAAATCGTTATTCCATGATGGCATTTCACTATATCTAGTCCGCATTTTTAGTTGAAACTTTTCCAATTTGCTTGTAGCCGAGGTATGATATTGTCACCAAGACTGCAGCAAAGCAGCCTACAATGAGCATGAGCATGCTGGCTCCCACAAAAAATAACAAACTACATGCCAGAAGAACACCTTGTAATTTGTAAAAAAATTGTAATGACACAAATATAATAAACCAATCCACATCAAAAAGCTTAAAAATTGTAACAGGCAAGAATATAAAAATTATTTAAATATAACTTTGTGGGAAAAGCAGAAGATTAAACAAAAAACTTAAGCCACTTAGATAAACTTTCACATTCTGGTTTACTTTCCTATTATATTTTAATAATTATTTTTAAAAAATACTTATAACCAGAGTTGAGAAGAGGATGTGGACAACTATTAATAATTTTTTAACATTATTACATTACAAATACATTTCTGATTATTTTATTATTATGTCAATTACGAGTATCCATAACCACATTACCATTACTTACAGATTAGTCATAGTAGTATAGTGAGATTATCATTACAACATTAATTCTAGCTAAAAAAATGTACTAATTTTAATTATCATTTCAAAAATTAAACACTGCAAGCGGAACCAACCAACCTTCTGCTATGAGGAATATAGCCAAAAAAACCATCGTGGAAAATACTGCGAAAATAATGAAGCCGACGAGAGGTAGAGAAGAAAAGATGCATACTGTCCCGAGGAAGATTACTAAATATGGATTCCTTTCAAATTCCATGTTCACGTGTTCCTTCAACTCGTTCAACCGACATTTTAATTTGTCGAGTAACTTCGTCATACAACTGCTTCGGTCGCCTTGACTCATAAATGCGCAGAACTAGATTCAGATCACAAACCATAAAACGAAAAGTGCAAAACGAAATAAAAGTAAACTTTGGCAGAGTGAGAGTTGTGTTGGGCTGAAAATTTTTAAAGAAATTGAGCTATAATGCTTGAACCATATAACTAGAAAAATATAACGGCCTTCGCTCACTTTTAACGTCCATCAAAGGAGCTTACTCTCGGAGGGAAGTTGGAGCATGGATATAATGGATATGGCATAAGAATTGTTACGTGCCTAATAATTTTGCTTAGTTCTATGGAATTAAACATGTAAACATTAAACATTTGTTTGTAGTAATTGATATTTTATGGTATTTTTACTATCAAACGTCTTGCTATGGACAAATGTTTTAGTTAAATGTCAATAAATTGACAAAAAAAGCAACTAGAACGATAATCGCTAAACAACCGGCTAAAAACTGATTGTTTATTTTAATTTAAATTCACTTTTCAACATATATTTGTTAGATTGACCTTGATGTTATATATATATATATATAAACAATGTATATATATATATATATATATATATATATATATATATATATATATATATATATATATAATGCGTCTGCCAAATCCGTATTATATATATCCATGAGTTGAAGGGTGGTTTTTTATCGTTCGAGTCAAAAGTAACGATCGTCCTATTTACTAATTTTGGAATATTTCTTTTATTTAAAATGTTTTAAAAGGTTTTAAATTTCAATTTTTTTAATTATTTTTCAATGGTAATTAATGGTAATTATTTTTCAATGGTAATTAATTACTATTATTTGGTATAAATTAAAAAAAAACTATACAACAGTTGTCAAAGTTTAACATCAGTTCAATTAGGGTTGGTGAAGTTGCCAACTTTTTCTTCAACTGAGCTGAATCTGGGCGTCTGGTTAGATGACAGGCTCACAAAAAAGCATCATATTAAATTGCTACAAATCACTAGCATGATTCAGCCAAAAAAATGATTTAAACCTTGACATTATTTGAATAGGGCTTCATTAGAAAAACTGGTTCATGCTTTGATACCATATCGTCTCGATTGCTGTAACAGCATGCTTTTTAAGTTACCTGACCGATCAATTGCTATTCAGTCAATTCAGAATTGAGTCGCAAAGTTAGTAATGAAGTGCTTATGATCAAAAAGCATGAACCTTTAGTCGAACCTAAGACAAATTTACAGAATGGAACTCGCGATATTGTTGTTGCTGTACCTGGTGTTTGGAAGATTCGATAGTCTATCCAGTAGGATTTGGTGGTCCACAGAGTTAAACGCGGCACTCATGTCCAAGAATGACAAGAGTGACAAAAGAAAAATTCATTTACGCAGTGAAATTTACACGAGCATAATAATAAAATGCCAAAAAGATAAACGTTAAATATTATAAAATGAATCGATGTAATTTATCCATCCATCCATCCATCTTATGTTTGCAGTGACTTAGTTTATGATATCGTCTGGATTCTAACTCCTGTCCAATCTGATTTGTTGGCAGCTGTTGGTTGGTGGTGATGATTTAATAAAATGGTTTTTTTTGTATGATAAATTAATTCTTGAGAAGTTAACGAGCAAACAAATTAAATTATGTTTTTCGGGATGCCACAGTACAGTTTCATATATGTAAGGAGTTGAAATAAAATGTGTTGGAACAATTAATATACTTTCTTATTTTCGAGTTTACCAACGTGTTAACGCTATTTATCTGTAATATTTGCTGATGAAGTATCTTGTTAAAGATCAATTTACAAAATTAAAACAGCTTATCAACATTCATTAGTTGCAAAGTTTTTTATTTAAATTTTCAGTCTAAGCGTGTTTATCGGCCTTGGTTATTAATTACGTAATTATATTTTCAAATAATTCAAATTGGAGTTGACTGTTTGCATGTTCAATTCGTGATTGGGGAAACGAACTTTAGTCTTTGACATATTCTTTGCTTAATAAAACCGTAACAAATTTAAGCCAAAATGAATTTAAAATGAAAATATGGACATTAATATAAAAAAATTCTAAAGAAAACATGAACCTACATAGGTTGCAAATGAGAAACTGTTTAGAGAACACAACTGGTCCACTATCAAAAAAAGAAAGAGATTTCTCGTAAACCGCTTGCTGCCACACAAAGACCCACTTCACTCTGCTGCGCAGTTGAATGACGTCGAGATTGATTCCCTTCATAAAGGTTGTAAATGATCTGGTAGGCATCGTCAGCAACCTGTCCGATCAGAACTGTTCCGTTTGTTATGTTCTGTTGTATTTGATGTTGTTCTTGATGATGATGTTGAAGTTGTTGTTGTTGATGGTGGTGTTGTTGATGTTGTTGTTGCTGATGTTGTTGTTGATGTTGTTGATGATGGTTATGTCGTTGGTGGTGGAGATTATATTATATTAGATTATATTACATTATCAACAAAAATAATTGCTATGCTTCTTTTATTATTAATAAAAATTTTTTTATTAAAATGAATCAATATTATAGACAGCATCCAAAATGAATCCATCAAGTTTTAAAGTTGAAAATGTCGGAAAGGCAGATGTGCATAAAATCAGCCATCGTAAACATTTAAATATAATAACTAACTGAACGTTCTCTAACATTTTAAAATCATTAAAATCAATTTAGAGAACAATTATTACTGTTTTCACAGGGACATTTCAAAACGCACAAACATTTTGAAAATATAAATCAGTGATATATTTAGAAATAGCTGGAAAAATAAACTAACACAGACACAAAAAGTTTCGCATTTTTGACGTAAAATTAAAAAAATTAAAATAACGTTGATGTTGACCACGTTTTATTTTTCCTCACGATAACAATCCTCTTTAAATAGATAATATATGTAGTAAAAAATGTATTTGAATAGCAATAAAGTACAAATAGGCGCATTTAGTAGTGCGGGAAGGATACTAACCAGCAGTGTTGTGCTTGTTACTCATTGAAAGTAATTTGTTATTTTTACTTGTTACTTTGGGAAAAAGTAATTTGTTACTGTTACTTGTTATATTTATAGAAAAGTAATCTGTTACTGTTACTTGTTACTATAAAAAGTAACAAAGTTACTTTTTTGTTACTACAGTACAGCATACATGTAAACAGACGCTGCAAGTACTCTTTCATATATTCTCAATATCAACATTAATAGGTGCGCACATGAATATATATATACAATACATAGAAAGATAGTCAATAAGATACATGTAATTGGTAGCACCTAAATTTACAATGTACATAAATCACTTATTTGGCAGAAAATAATTTATTTGCCCGCAAAAGCAGTTGACGCTCAAAATGCTCATCAGTCATCCGATTCCTTCTAGGAACCAGTATCTGACCACCTAAACTGAAAAGTCTCTCAACCGGTGCACTTGAAGGTAATGGTGTATTGAATTTCTTGAACAACTTCAAAATACCCGGGTATTTTTGCAGGCATGCAATTTCACGAGAATTATCACTTAAATACAAGTCAAGTTCTGCAGCAGCATCAACGTTGTCACGTGGTTCATTTGCAAACGAAAAAAATTCATCATCTGACACAGTACCTGACTCATGCTTGTCATCAGTATCAGGCTCAGTGACCTGCTGCTGCTGTTTAGCAGCATGCAACTCGCCATACAGTAAACTACGACAATCTTTTTCCTGTCGTTATTGTCAATCCATCTCATACGAAAC